TCAATATCTACAACTGTTGTCGACTTTTGGGCCGATGCTCTCGTTCCCCTGAGGCAAAACAAAGCCGACCTAAAGAGAGAGAAGGACAGTTGACATCTCATCCAGGCTGTAACATAACTTCTGGGCTGTTGCTTCTGTTCGGAGATCACCTCCGCGAGTCTGGCGTAGAAGCATCTTGCACTTGGTCCTATCCCACCAGAGGTTGTGAACACTAGAGGAGTGAAGCTGCCTTGACATCACGGCAGATTTCCTTCAACATATTTGCTGTGAGATCCCTTACTTCGTCATGCCTCATGCATATGAAGCCCCCTTTCTTGCAAACCACGGCGTGATCGCGTCATAGGAAGAGCCACACACGCATTGGGAGGGAAAACCTTCTACTGGCCTACTTTACCTTAGAGCAATGGCATCTGTAAATTCTTGTTTTTGAGACTGAAATCATTTGCCCTTATCGGTAACGTAGTTAACCAGTTCGAGGCGCCCACCTCCTGCGCTATAGCTACTTTTTTTTCAAATTCCCTGGTACTTGCAGCAACAGTTGCTGCAACTTATCACTTTGGCCGTTCTGTCGTTCTGTTATAATGGACCTTCGAATCTTGTTTACATCACTGGTAACCACCTCCCCTGTTGTGTTCTGGGCTATTATGTGGTCCGTGAGGGCTGCCGTGAGCTTAACTGAGTTTTGATATTCGGTGGCAGCAATCTCCTCTGGATTGGTCAATCCCATTCCTCCCAGTCTCGGTGGTAGTGCAAGGAGTGATCTTTCTGCTGGGGTTAAGTGAGGGTGTTTCACTACTATTTTTTTCACTACTACTACTACTATTATTATTATTATTATTATTATTATTATTATTATTATTATTATTATTATTATTATTTCGCCTTTTCAAAGATATATAGATGTCTCAGATGTTTCTTTATCTGTCTGTCTGTCTCTTGTTTCTTTATCTCTATATCAACCTATTTTCACCTACATTTGCTATTCCTTTTCTTTCTCACCTATAGAGATTCTCTCTCTGTCTCTCTCACACACACATACACAGCCCCCTGCTCCTCTGAACCACTGGGGACCTTGGCCAGAATTCCACTTGGATATTTGGATTCTGTTTAAAATTTAATTTTATTTTTCGTCCTCAAATACACAGCCTGAGAGCAGCAGGGGAGAGCAGAGAGAGAGAGGGGGGAGGGAGGGAGAGAGAGAGAGGAGAGAGAGAGACAGAGAGAGAGAGAGAGAGAGAGAGAGAGAGAGAGAGAGAGAGAGAGAGAGACAATCTGTCCAACTCATCAACATTAATTGGATGACCTGGAACTTACAGGCATACAACACAAGCTTTTCTTTTTTTTTTTCTTTTCTTTTCATTTCTATTCTTTCTCTTCTATTTACATAGGAGAGAAAGTTCCCCCAAAATAGAATTCATTCCCCCCCCCCCGAGGAGTGGATGTGAAGCTCCATTTATCCGGGTCACTGAAGCTACGACACAAAGGTAAATATTCCCAGAGGTTTGTAAGGTAAATTGTAAACTCTCTCACTACAGAGGGACTCGTGATCTTCCCTTGTAACCTGTTAGTGGACGGAATATTTAACGTAATAATAATAATAATAATAATAATAATAATAATAATAATAATAATAATAATAATAATAATAAAAACAAGATAAAATTCTCCTTATGTAGAGGTATGAGTGAGAGAGAGAGAGAGAGGAGAGAGAGAGTAGGAGAGAGAGAGAGAGAAGAGAGAGAGAGAGAGAGAAACTCGCCATTACATAACTAAAGACAGAGCGACACGACCTTCACTCTCTCATTTTCTCTCTCTCTACTTGATATCAGACCTCGCAGGAACATAAGGGGAGGGAAAGAGAGAGGAGGAGAGGGGGAAGGAGAATGGGAAATCGGAAGGAGATGGGAGAAAGGAGAAGGGAAGAGGAAGGAGTCATGGGGAGGGAAAGTGAGAAAGAGGGTGAGGGAAAGGAAGGATGAGAGAAAGGGAGAAGAGGAGAGAAGGAGAGGAGAAGGAAGGTGAGTGGAACGAGAGAGAGAGAGGTGAAGGAAAAAGGGTGCGAAGGAAGGAAGGAAGGGGAGGAGAATACTACAGAAGGAAGCTAGAAAATCTCTCTCTCTTCTTTCTTTCTTCTTTTCTTTCTTTCTTTCTTCTTTCTCTCTAGGGACTTTTGCTCAGATAAATCTCTGTCTCACATCCTGACTAACACGCCCTGGTGAATAATAGGAGAAAAATAAGGAAAAGAGAAAGGAGAGATCAGACAGAATAGAGAGAGAGAGAGAGAGAGAGAGAGAGAGAGAGAGAGAGATAATACGATAGTCCCTACCTGACTATGTAAGTTAAGGCACCAGCTCAGCACACTACTTCACCACCACTACCAATACTACCACCATCACCACAACTACCACCACTACTACAATCTCCTCATATTGAAAACCCAAATTACATTTTTTCACAGGACTGGAGTTGATCAAGACGAGTTCGAGCGGCCAGAAAATTGAAGAATCTGTTCCAATAATATCGAAGGCCAACCCCCACCTCTTAGCAGAGAATGCCTCCCTATTAACCAACAATACTAACAATAATAACAGAAATAATAATAATAACTGTAATAAGAAATACAATAATAATAATAATAATAATAATAATAATAATAATAATAATAATAATAATAATAATAATAATAATGGTTGCCCCTCGTGTAACGAGGATGGCCGGCCCAAGGGCCACCTAGGCGTGAATTTGTTTAAGGTGTAGAAGCTGTCGCCAACACAACAACCACACCCTGAGTTAACGAGCTGCATGACCCAGTGTCAAGGAATAGTCGATCCGCAAATCGATTAACATCCAGGTCCCCAATTACTGCTGGGTAGACAGAGGCAAATGGCGTAAAGAAAATTGCCCATACTTTCACCCTGTCCGGGGATCAAATCTGGGTCCACTCGCTTGCGAGGCGAGCATGCTGACCATTACACCACAGGTCGCCATACACACACGTTCTCACGCACACACGTGAGGCCCCTCATAACACCATCTGTGAGGGAGTTACTACACCACGTCAGGTCCCTCATAACACCATCTGTGAGGGAATTACTACACCACGTGAGGCCCCTCATAACACCATCTGTGAGGGAATTACTACACCACGTCAGGTCCCTCATGCTTACCATCTGTGAGGGGAATTACTACACCCTCAGGTCCTCATAGCACCATCTATGAGGGGAGTTACTGCACTACGTGTCTGCTGTTCAACACCTCAGCGTACGCAGTCTGTGCGGCCTCCACTGTAGCATTAATCTGTGTTCACTGCTATGTTCCAGCACCTTTCTCTAAAGGAAGCTTTCTTCCTTCCATTCCCTCCATCTTTTTATATAAAAAGTCATTAATGTCCAATGTATATTTTCAGCCTTCGAACTGCCGAACTTTTTCAATAAACCGTTAATTATTATTATTATTATTATTATTATTATTATTATTATTATTATTATTACACACACACACACACACACACACACACACACACTTCACATTTCTTCCTCTATGGACTATTTACACTCCATTATTTTTGTTATTATTTACTGTTACCAACTATTTACTTTATCTTTTGGTCATTATTCTCGGGTTGTGTTGTTGACTGCCTCCTGGCGTCTTCTGTCAACATGTAAAATAAACAGGACTTCAGTATATTGAGGTCTTGTGTGTGTGTATATGTGCGTATTTCCTCCTAGTCCTTACATCCACCACTCCCTTCAATCATCTCACACAACTACACATCGACTTAGGATATATATATAAAAAAAAACATAAAACTCACATAAAAGCGACTAACAAACAAACATCATACGTCTGGTCGTGTGGTGGAGGTGTGTTGGTGCCAGCTCCCAGACACCAGTGAAGTTATCGTACAGGAGCTGGGGTAAGGTCACACACACACACACTATCGGCTCAAGGCCAAACTCGACATCTCTTCATTATTTATGAAGCTTCTCCTAATCTTACGTGGCTTTGTGAATATATTGACTATACTTATCTAAACAGTACCGAGACAGAACAGGTATTACTGACTAAATACTGGTGTAGAAGTATGACTATATGTATATATTAATCTTGCCTTAATACACATATGCACTATTACATACTATATATACTGTACTATAAAAATATGTACACAATATACATATACATTATTATACTACCCGGTTTATGTATTATATCTGGGACCATTAGTGTGTGTGTGTGTGTGTGTGTGTGTGTGTGTGTGTGTGTGTGTGTGTCCTCGTTATAGTCACCAGCAAGCACAAGGGTCAGACCATTAACCCGGCAACCACTGTGGTATACTGTATAGTGGCTGGCGAGTCTAAAGGTACAGTGTGATTTCATACATACATACATACATACATACATACATACATACATACATGCATACATACATACATACATACATACATCTCCCTCTATTTTTTAACGTTAAGAATTCAGGATTTTTTTGTAGTTAATTCTGGTGATCTGCGGAGCGTCTTAATATGGGGGAACTAAACAGCTGTCTCTCTCTCTGTCTCCCCTTTGTTAACAGCTGATTATCTCCTCTTCCTTGCGAGACACACCATCTGGAGCTGTGTGTGTGGGGGGGGGGTTATAAATTTAAACGTACACAACACACACACACACACACACACATACACACACAGCTGCACTATCTCCCAGCTGTGTTTTAAGTTAGGTTAAGTTAGGTTAGGTTAGGTTAGGTTACTAGGGGACAGCAAGGAGTGATGGCTGGTATAATCCCTCCATTATTGTGAATGACTCTGTCCGCGAGGGAGTCAGAGTTGGTCATCACAAAGCCAACAAAGAGCAGCAGTGAGGTGGAGCAGCAGTGAGGTGGAGCAGCAAAGAGGTGCAGCAGTGAGGGGCGGCAGAGAGGAGTATAAGAGAGGGGCAGCAGCAGAGAGGAGCAGCAGAAGTGAGGTGGAGCAGTGAGGTGGAGCAGCAGAGAGGTGGAACAGCAGTAAGGTGGAGCAGAAAGGAGTAGGAGAGAGGAGCAGCAGCAGTGAGATGGAACACCAGTGAGGGGCAGTAGAGAGGAGCAGCAGTGTTATCATCAGCAGCAGAGACAAGAAGGGCCAAGTACTACAGTCCACACCTTATACAGAGGCCTCGACAACTTATAGAAGGTAAACAACATAACTACACTAATCTTAAGTTCATCCCAGCCTGGATCAGTGTATGGGCGCCCCACCTTCAGAAACACTTAACATCCCTAGATATGGTGCAACACAGAGCGACTAAGATGATTCCTGAACTATGTCATCTAGATTACCCAAGTAGACACACACCCAAGACACAATAGGGCAGATTTCATTAAAACTTTCAAAATCCTGAAAGTGATGTTGTTACGTTGGTTAATTCCCCAGTTAACCGGGTTGGTAACACACATAATATAATTGGGTTTTTGGTAACGAAACCCAATTGAAGTTTCTTGTTTTATTATAAAAGTATTGTTTATAATTCCTGAGAGTATATCAACCGTAAGTTCCACTATTTATGAGTGAATGAGAAAGAGGACGGCGTTTATGTAATATAAACGTGGATCAACGTCCGCTCGATAAAAGTTGGTGTGAGTGACTGACGAAGGCATTGCACGAGTGCGCGCTTACATAGATGCTGACATATGGGCTTCTCCCTCTTGGGAAAGCTACCGTTCACGTGTTCAACTCATGTCTTACTCATAGGTAGTGGAAAGTTACAGGGGATGAATCTGAATATAAATCAGATGTAAGAACCCATTTATATAATACGTTCTGTTGATGAGACAGGGGCCATTACAATGTAAACGTGAACCCAGGCCATTTGTTTGTGATGTCACGCACCACCAACACGAGAGGACATAACTACAAGCTGGCCAAGTGATCATGTAGAGCTAACATAACGAAATACTTCTTCACACAGAGGCTGGTAGACCTGTGGAACGGTCTAACAGCCCAAGCTGTGGAATCAAGAACGGTACTGAGCTTCAAAACAGCCCTTGACGAAATTATCAAGAACAACAGAGTAATCCTACACAGGTGACTGGCCTCCTCCCCTCGGCATAGCCACCTCCAGTGTGTGACCATTAGGTAAATAAGGTAAAAATAATACACAGATCCCTTATAGGTCCTCTGATGTAGAGTATCTCCTGTACACCTGTATGGTGATTAACACCTGAGTACGATGAAATGACCCCCTGAGTTCAACGACAACCGGTTCAGTCATCAACTCGTGATACTCAAGAGGTTAAATCATCAAACTCAAGGGGTTAAAATTATCATTATAGTACAATGATTTTAACCCTTAAATACGATGATTTTAATCCCTGAGTACAATGATTTTGAACCCTATGAGGACGATGAATTAACCCCTTGAATAGTCAAAGGGTTTAAATCATCATATTCAAGGGGTTAAATTAGCGTACTCGAGGGGTTAAAATACATCGTACTCAACGGGCTGTCATCGTACTCAAAGCAGCATCAGAGACAGGAAGGAAGGGAGGTGAAGCAGGGAAGCCTCCAAACAAAGTCGAAAACTTTCGACCAATATCGCTGCTAGAGGTACCTGTATGTATATTATGTATGTTGTATGAATACCATGTATGTACTCTATATATACACATTATTTCTCAAGTCAGTAGCGTGTGGCAATGCCCCTGTTTCATGTCACCACACGCTTAGATAAATGTGCCTGGCGACATCTGAAAGCTGCTCGTATACCACTTACCACATGTCGTCTGAGAGGTCAGAGTGAGGTCAGTTGACCCCTATTGGTGTGTAAGGACTACCCGCGCTTGTAAGAGCACCTTGTATATTTCCGATAATAAGAACCTACAGAACTCTACAGGTGTTTATGTTCGCTCTTGTAGTTAGAACCAAGTACCCCGAACATCTCCAGTACCTGCCAAAATCTTCGAAAAAATAGTCAACAAGCGATTGCGGATGTATCTGGAGGACGAAGACGTGCATAATCCCCGCCAGTACCGAGGCACATCCACCGCCATAGCTCAGGCCAACGAGCAGATCGCCAATGCCATGACTGGCCGCCTGCAGTGCAACATAGTACTGAGGGACGTCAGCAAGGCGTTTGACAAAGTTTGGCATGCGGAGCTGCAGTATATGATCATACAACTGGGGCTACCCGAAAACCTGACGCGCCTGCTGTGCAACTTCATTACGGACCGCAGAGCCAAAATCAAGATGCAAAAACATCTTGGAGAAGAATTCTCACTATCGAGCGGCGTGCCTCAGGGCTCTTGTCTCTCACCAACCCTTTACACACACTACACGGCTGACCTGCCACCCCCAATCGTCGGCAGTGAGTACGTCATGTATGCCAACGATGTAACACAGATCGTCACCTGCCCAGGAAGGTCCACAGCAAGGATGGCGCGACTCACTGCTCGGGCAATAGAGGAGATCTCGGAGTATGAAAATAAATGGAAAATAAAAACAAACAAAACGAAATTCGAGGTCATACCCATAGCCAAATTCAAGCCGGCCCCATTGATGATCGACGACGAAGAGATTGAGTACTCTAAACAAGGCAGGTTGCTCGGCCTCATCATTTCTCGGACGGGCATCATTCCCCACGTGAAGGACAGACTAAATAAAGCCAAAGTCGCCGCAGCCAAATTAAAACGTTTTAAACTGATGCCTGAGAAGATACAAGTTCACCTGTACAAGGCGCTGGTGAGGCCTGTGTTGGAGTACCCATCTATACCACTCGTCACACTCGGGAAGACTAGACTACAACAACTACAGAGCTTCCAAAACAAGTGTTTGAGGTCAGCCAGTGGCCAAGCGCCACCCTACCAGGAGACAGTGGAAACCATCCACCTAAGAAATAAAACAGAGGCCCTCAACTTCAGGTTCCATCGCCTAGGGAAGAAGGTTTGGGACAAGCTCCTGGACGACCCTCACAGCCCAGACCACCTACGCGGGGAAGACATCAACGGAGGGAGACCCCACGCCTGGTGGCCCCGGAGTCTGCCCGCACTACAACAACCCAACCCGCGACCCATCTATGTCCGCCACAGTGATCCACCTTAGATTAAAACTTAGATGATATAAATTCACATTTAACAAGTCACAATCTAGTGAGTCCATAACGTAATACAATATAAGATTTTAATAAACTTGTAATTGTAAAATAAATCTAGACATTGTCTACTAAAATAACCATTGTACAACCTCATCCTAAATCCTAGGTTAGCTTAGTTAGCCAACAAACTCTGTAATATGTAAAACAAGGGGTGTCGTCCCCCTCTGTTTAACTCGTTAAACTTCTTTTCCAACCTTTCCCCCCACGACTATATGTTGTGACTTCTCCATCCCTCATGTCTGGCTGTGCCTTGAGCCCCTGCATGCCTTCCATCCTTTCCCGACCTTAACCTAAAAAAAAGGGAGGTGAGGTGTTGTGTGTAGCGGTGAACAAGGAAGAGTTAGCGTGTAGCAGAGGAGGAGAATATCTGTAGCACCTTTAATAATAACAACTACAGCAGCGATAAGGAGAAATGGATATAGTACGAACATTACTCTATCTATCTATCCATCTATCTATCTATCTATCTATCTATCTATCTATCTATCTATCTATCTACCATACAGCACAACGAGAGCGGAAAATAATATCAGTGTTACCATAAGCAGCGACGGGACAACATAGAGAATCTAGCGAGAAGAAAAATTCCCAACCAAGACAGAATAGAGAAGGCAGCAGCGTGAGGAGTGGTGTTCAGTGCTGTGTACACCGTGACGCCATAAGGACCTTGAGTGTTTAACCAGGGGACACTTGCCACACCACCAATACCACTACTACCACCACTACTACCACCACTACTACCACCACTACTACCACCATCATCATGACTGGTAATGTAAAACTGATTAGATTTTGTATTAATTGAACAATGTATTAAGGTATGCTGTGGCCTCCGTTAGAAACAATGACTGGATATTTGGTTTAGTTCTACGCGTCGAGAGGAGTGACCTTGGTGGTAGTGTACTAATTAGAGGAAGGTCACCTTGGGTTAGTAGAGAGCATTAACTGGTGACGTGACAAAAGCGAAGTTAGTGTTGTTGTTGTTGTTGTTGTTCAGTTGTTTATATTTGGTGCGTCGTAATGAAGAGTTTGGTGTGCACTATAGTGTATGGTGAAGGGACACACACACACACACACACACACACACACACACACACACACACACACACACACACACAGACAGCTGCGCCATACTTCATAGCGTTAGTTGGTTGAGATAATTTAGCGTCACCAACACACCTGGACTTAATACCTTAATTTGTACCTTTGAGGTGAGTTCTATATAATATAATTTAACTCTAACCTCAGTCTGTGTATATATGTGTGTGTGTGTGTGTGTGTGTGTGTGTGTGTGTGTGTGTGTGTGTGTGCATGTCTCTTCAAAACCACCTATTTCTCTCCCCCATTATTCCTTGCACAACAAAACATGACATCATCTATTACTCTCAAGAATTACCTACAACATTAATGTGTAAACGTGCTGAATCCCCCCAAGAGTCATTCATTAACAATAATTAATAGAGGTGTTATTTTTGCACCCAGAGACTTAATCAGCACCACGAGACATGCCCAAACTTAAAGGGTTAGAATTATCAATAGCGTATAATGCTTTTAAACCCACGAATATGATTATTTTAACCCCTCATACGATGATTTTGAACCCTATGAGTACGATGAATTAACCCCTTGAATAGTTAAAGGGTTTAAATCATCATACTCAAGGGGTTAAACCATCGTACTCGAGGGGTTAAAATACATCGTACTCAACGGGCTGTCATCGTACTCAAAGCAGCATCAAAGACAGGAAGGAAGGAAGGTGAGGTGTTGTGTGTAGCGGTGAACAAGGAAGAGCTAGGGTGTAACAGAGGAGGAGAATATCTGTAGCACCTTTAATAATAATAACTACAGCAGCGCCACCAACACATAGTCTGGCGATAAGGAGAAACGGATATAGTACGAACATTACTCTATCTATCTAAGTTGAGACTGGGGCTCAGTTGTAATGTCTTAAAACCTTAACACAACACAAACTTTTTACGGGAATAAACTTGGACATAAGTTTTTATAAGCAAAGAAAACTGCAACAACTGACACCAAGCTTTATATAAGTGAACGTAACTTAACCTAACCTCACCTGACATAACCTAACCTGACACGACCTGAGCTAGCCTAACCTGTCCTGACATAACCTGACATGATCTGAGCTAACCTAACCTGACATGACCTGACCTAACCTAACCTTACTTAACCTATACAAACGTAACCTAACCTAACCTAACCTAACCTAACCAAACCAAACCAAACCGAACCGAACCTAACCTGACTCGACCTAAACCAACTCAAATACACCCAAATAGTCATAAGTATGGCGTCTTTAGTGAACACAAGAGCAATAGACACCAGCAAATATTGTGTCAAAATAAAACATGTATTAAACACCAAAAAAAAACAGATTGATAAAACTCGGCATCATAATTTAAGTTATTTATGTGCAACAGTGACCTGACCTTTGGGTATCTTACCATAATTAACGTAAAGGAGAGACTTTTTGATGACTAACCCTTTGACGGCGATGACTTAACCCTTTGATAATGATGATTTAACCCTTGATGATGAGATGATGATGATGATGATGATGATGACGATAATGATGAAGATTTAACCCTTTGATGATGAGATGATGATGATGATGATTATTTAACCCTTTGATGATGATGATGATGATGATGATGATAATGATGATTTAACCCTCTGATGATGATGATGATGATAATGATGATGATTTAACCCTTTGATGATGATGATGATGATGATGATGATGGTTTAACCCTTTAAGGATGATTATTTAACCCCTCATGACTCAAAGGGTTAAGACACCATACCTACATAAGACGGGAGAATTATGTGTAGTGCATAAATAACACAATATTCTCTGTTTACATCACAACAAACACCTGACTATTAACTGATGGTTATTTAGGAGCGACAAACACAGTAACAACAAAACAATTACTACTACTACTACTAATAATAATAATAATAATAATAATAATAATAATAATAACAATGATAACAAAAACATTAATAATAAACACTAATAACAACAATAATAACAACAACCACAACAACAACCACAACAACAACCACAACCCACCAACATTCATTAATTCCCTCACAAGGATTAAGTCACCAAGTCAATCCACTGATAAGGAGAAAAAAAACTGAAACTCCATAAAAAAAATTCCACAAGACATAAAAAAACTAATTTATTCCCTCTATCTCAAAATAAAAACACGACGATTTTTTTTATTAGTTTTAAATATTCAAATCTCGTTCAGGATAAATAAAAACAAATTGGAATTTTAACATTTGCTTAACATTCACAGTAATTAAATAAAGTCTTTTGATTCATTTATACGAGGCGAGAATGTAAGAGAGAGAGAGAGAGAGAGAGAGAGAGAGAGAGAGGATGGTTCCCTCCGCCCTATAAAAGGTTTTCAGAGAACCTAATGTGTCGCAACCTGTGGGAGAGGAAGAAAGGGAGGAAGAGGGGAGGGAGGCGGGAGAGGTAGGGAGAAAGGGGGGGAAGGGAGGTGGGAGAGATGGGATGGGAAGAGGAAGGGTGGGATGAAAGGTAAGGGGAAGAGGAGAAGGAAGGTAGAAGGGGAAGGAAGGAAAAGGCTGGGAGATAGGGTGAAGGGAAGAAGAGGAAGATGAGGGGAAGAGGGAGAGAAAGGAGAGAAAGAAAGGGAGGGATGATGAGGGAAATGTGAAGAAGAGGAGAAAGAAAGGGCGAATGGAGTAAAAAGAAGAAATGGGAAAAGAGGGAGAGTAAAAAAGGAGGAAGGGTACAGGAGGTAAAGGGACACATACAAATAAAACGAATGAGGGAATAAGGAAAAGCAAATAATTAAAATAAATAAGACAATGAAAACAAGAACAAAAAAAGAATTGTAAAAATGACAAAAACAAGAAAAAATAAAGACAAATAAAATAAGTAACAAAATGACGGAAAAAACAGAAAACGAAAGAAAAAGAAAAAAGACGGAAGATAAAAGACAGACAGACAGACAGACAGACAGACAGACAGACAGACACACACACACGTAAAAAACCCCAAAATAAACAAACATTAACCAATCGATTCCTTTAACTCATCCACGCTACGACAACGACCAATCAAAAACCAAATCACAAAATCATCCCAACCACAACTCGACTTCTGAGCATTAATGAGGACTGTGTGTGTGTGTGTGTGTGTGTGTGTGTGTGTGTGTGTGTGTGTGTGTGTGTGTGTGTGTGTGTGTGTGTGTGTGTGTGTGTGTGTGTGTGTGTGTGTGTGTGTGTGTGTGTGTGTGTGTGTATTATATTCCGTCAATAACTTTCTTGCCAGCATTTTTCTCCCTCGTGTAGTGAAATGCGTTTGGGATTATGAGGTATCTCTCTCTCTCTCTCTCTCTCTCTCTCTCTCTCTCTCTCTCCTCATTACCATTCAAGTCGAGTCTTCGGTGTTCATTATAAATATGTATGTCATTGAGGAGTGAATTGTGTGTCTTGCTTGAGATCATTACTGTGGAGAGAGAGAGAGAGAGAGAGAGAGAGAGAGAGAGAGAGAGAGAGAGAGAGAGAGATTCATATCATTACCCAACACCACTTCGTCTTTGCTCTCCCTGTAGGCTCAGAATTCACCTACGACGCCGCCACCTGGAGCGTCACGCCGGCCATGAAGGAAACCTACAACAAGAATGGTTACATCCTCGTCAGGTAGGTACTGAGGCCAGGTAACATCTTCGTCAGGTAGGTACTGAGGCCAGGTAACATCCTCGTCAGGTAGGTACTGAGGCCAGGTAACATCCTCGTCAGGTAGGTACTGAGGCCAGGTAACATCCTCGTCAGGTAGGTACTGAGGCCAGGTAACATCTCGTCAGGTAGGTACTGAGGCAGTACACCTCGTCAGGTAGTACTAGCCAGGTACACTTCGTCAGGTAGGTACTGAGGCCAGGTAATCCCTGTCGTAGGTACTGAGGCCAGGTAACATCCTTGTCAGGTAGGTACTGAGGCCAGGTAACATCCTCGTCAGGTAGGTACTGAGGCCAGGTAACATCCTCGTCAGGTAGGTACTGAGGCCAGGTAACATCCTCGTCAGGTAGGTACTGAGGCCAGGTAACATCCTCGTCAGGTAGGTACTGAGGCCAGGTAACACTTTCGTCAGGTAGGTACTGAGGCCAGTAACATCCTCGTCAGGTAGGTACTGAGGGCAGGTAACATCCTCGTCAGGTAGGTTACTGAGCCAGTAACATCTCGTCAGGTAGGTTACTGAGGCCAGTAACATCCTCGTCAGCTAGGTACTGAGGCCAGGTAACATCCTTGTCAGGTAGGTACAGCCAGGAACATCCTCGTCAGGTAGGTACTGAGGCCAGGTAACATCTTCGTCAGGTAGGTACTGAGGCCAGGTAACATCTTCGTCAGGTAGGTACTGAGGCCAGTAACATCCTCGTCAGGTATGTACTGAGGCCAGGTAACATCCTCGTCAGGTAGGTACTGAGGCCAGGTAACATCCTCGTCAGGTAGGTACTGAGGCCAGGTAACATCCTGTCAGGTAGGTACTGAGGCCAGGTAACATCCTCGTCGGTAGGTACGAGGCCAGGTAACATCCTCGTCAGGAGGTAGAGGCCAGGTAACACTTTCGTCAGGTAGGATGAGGCCAGTAACATCCCGTCAGGTAGGTACTGAGGGCATAATCCTCGTCAGGTAGGTTACTGAGGCCAGGTAACATCTCGTCAGGTAGGTTACTGAGGCCAGGTAACATCCTCGTCAGGTAGGTACTGAGGCCAGGTAACATCCTCGTCAGGTAGGTACTGAGGCCAGGTAACATCCTCGTCAGGTAGGTACGGAGGCCAGGTAACACTTCGTCAGGTAGGTAAAATTTTCGTCAGGTAGTTTTTAATATCGTATCTTACCAGTAAAATAATAAGAAAACGGGAAAGAAAGACAAAGATAACTTAAGTCCCATTAGTGCAACAACTTTACAAAACGAAAACTACCCTCAGGAATTCCCCACCACTTCTATCTATCTATCTATCTATCTATCTATCCCCAGAAATATGCTGAGCCAGGCTGAGATAGATAAAGTGAAGGCGGCTGTGGAAGGAGACGATGGTATCCAGGCTCAAGCATACAGCAGAGACGACGGCAAGAGCAGACGAAGCCGAGTGTCCCTGTGGAACCATCCGGGTGACGACATAACCGGACGGCTGGCGAGGATGTACAGAGTTGCCGGTACCATGGAGGAGGTAAGGATTCTCAGAGGTTCATCCAACGTCAAATAATCCTCACTTAAACTACGACACAATGATGGATTGTCAAGGGTTCCTATGTTAAATAATCCTCACTTAAACTACGACACAAAGACGGATTGTCAAGGGTTCGTAGTTATTTCCACATAAATAGACAGGTGAAAATGGCGTAGCAATTGCACAGAGACTCTACCTTAACTAGATAAGAGTCTCTCACCTCTCCCTCACCACACTGTCACCTCCCTCACCACACTGTCACCTCTCCCTTACCACTCACCTCCTTACCACTCACCTCCTCACCACACCGTCACCTCCTCACCACACTGTCACCTCCCACCACCACCTCCCTACCACCTCCCACCACACGTCCCTCCCTCACCACACTGTCACCTCTCCCTCACCACACTGTCACCTCTCCCTTACCACTCACCTCTCCCTTACCACACTGTCACCTCTCCCTCACCACTCACCTCTCCCTTACCACACTGTCACCTCTCCCTCACCACACTGTCACCTCTCCCTTACCACAGTGTCACCTCTCCCTCACCACACTGTCACCTCACCCTCACCACTCACCTCTCCCTCACCGCCACAGCTGATGGGAGGGGACGAGATCTACCACTACCACAGTAAACTGATGATGAAAGATGCCAACACGGGTGGTCGGCACGTCTGGCACCAGGACTACGGGTGAGTGTCACACGAGACAGTGCCAACGGGAGCCGGGTGCCTATTAGGGAGTGCCAGTGGATGAATGTCTGAATGTCTGTCAGTGGGTTTGGTCTGTACTAACACGTGTGTGTGTGTGTGTGTGTGTGTGTGTGTGTGTGTGTGTGTGTGTGTGTGTGTGTGTGTGTGTGTGTGTGTGTGTGATTAGTGTTTACCGTCCCCTTCTTGCATCAGTGACCAATATTACGAACCAAACCAAACTGTCCGTCACGTTGTTCCTCAGGTACTGGTACAACAATGGCTGTTTGTACCCGAACATGGCGTCGGTGTTCATCCCGGTGGACAACTGTACCAGGAAGAACAGCTGTCTGCAGGTGTTGAGGGGCTCTCACCTCCTCGGCCGTATAGATCACCGGAGGATAGGGGAGCAACTAGGGGCAGACCCGGAGAGAGTGGAGAAGGTGAGAGAGAGAGAGAGAGAGAGAGAGAGAGAGAGAGAGAGAGAGAGAGAGAGAGAGAGACTTGTCAATAATTGTCAAAGCTGTTGGGTTGTCCTCGCGTTCACAATGTGTCTCTCCCTCTCTCTCTATCTCATCTTTTCTCTCTCTTCATCTGTCATCTATTCATCAACCCTCCCTCGCTTTATCTCTCTTATTCATCCATCTAGATATGCTAGGCCTCACCATTTCCTCTAATATGTCATGGACGCCACACATCCACAACACTGCTAAAGCTGCCTCCCGAAAGTTGGGAATGCTATACAGTTGCCGTAGCTACTTCACTCCTGAGCAGTTGCTCCAAGTATACAAGGGATTCATTCGTCCTAACTTGGAGTACTCCTCTCATATCTGGGGTGGCTCTTCTTCTGTCCAACTGTTAGATAGGCTGGAATCAAAGGCATTTCGTCTTATTAACTCTCCTCCTTTAGTTTATAATCTTTCTTCCCTTTCTCTTCGCCGCAATGTTGCTTCACTCTCTCTCTTTTACAGGTACTTTAACGGGCAATGTTCGGTGGATTTGACATCCTGTGTACCGCCGGCAAGGCTGTGGGCTCGTAACACTCGTCTTGCCCGCGGTGTCCACCGTTTCTCTGTGGATGTCGGTCACACTAGACTAACCCGTTATAGTACCTCCTTCTTTCCTCACACAGCCAAACTGTGGAATGCTCTGCCTTCTTCTGTGTTTCCATACTCATACAATCTGTCTCACTTCAAAAAGCTGGTTTTCCGGCATCTTCGTGGTGTAGATTAATATAGTCTTTTTCTCTTCTATTTTTTATTTCTTCTTACTGTTATTTTTTCGCCCCCTAGGCTCCTTTGTGGGTCGATGACCTGTGCCCGGGTGGGCTATTCCCCGAAAAAAATCTCTCCCCCCCCCTACAGGCTCAGAAATAGCTGGATTTAACACCCTGTATATCTTGAAAAAAAGTTAGGCAAACCCTCACTCTTTATATCTCTCAACCCATCTATTCTCTCGTGTTACCTTTAATCTATCCATCCATCCATCCATCTCTCTCCCCCCTACAGGCACAGAAGGTACTGGAACACGTATATGTGGAGATGAAGGCCGGGGACATGCTGTTCTTCCACTGTAACCTCCTCCACACCTCCGACCAGAACTCTTCAGATCTACGCCGTTGGGTCTTCATCGTCGCCTTCAACAAGAGATCCAACAACCCTTACAAGGAACACCACCACCCACAGTACACGCCCATGACCAAGGTATACTGCTCTCTCTCTCTGGCTACACTACACTACACCTGCTACATTAAACTAACACTTCATTTGTTACACTATCCTCTACACTACATCCCCTACACTATCAACTACACTACATTATCCTCTACACTACACACACACTCCCACCCAGCACCACACACCGCGTCACCTGAAGTCTCTCGTTAACCTGTACTGTATACTGACTCGCTAGACAGTGGCTAAATTAATACAATGATGGTTCTCTTAACTCAACTTTGTGCTGGTAATAAATGAAACTCTGTGTGTGTGTGTGTGTGTGTGTGTGTGTGTGTGATAAAGAGATAAAGCGAGAATGAGAAAGACAAAGTATGTGTGCGTGTTAACCAAAACAGAGAGAGAGAGAGAGAGAGAGAGAGAGAGAGAGAGAGAGAGAGGCACACACCACAACAAAGCGTAGCAGTATTTATCTCTCTCACAATTTAACTGGGATAATGACCCGCCAGACACTACTACATATTCATAGCTAGCGTCTTCACCTTCAGATAAAGACTAACCTAACCTAACCCAAGACACAACTAAGACTTACGGAATTACATACGAGTATATATAATTTTAGTATTAAGGCTATCAGTATGGAAAATATGTTAGCGTCTCGTTCTATAGTTCCAAACGTGCTCTCTCTCTCTCTCTCTCTCTCTCTCTCTAACCAGAAACAAGATCAAATACAATAGTGAACATAGTGAAACACACACATAAAACAGCTATATATTGTATCCCCAAGATCAAGTTCTCCAGCTCAGTAATTAAACAAATGACGATCAAGTCTTAGTAAACATAATAATGATCTTCCTTTCAGTCTGTTCTTGTTTGGTTTGTTTACCGTGTTCACTTGTCATGTTTGTTGTTTACAGATAGACATTTAGATACATGGTGTTGTTTACTTGTCCTCCTTCTGTTATTTTCCCACAAACACAACACACACGTTATTATTGTTATTATTATTGTTATTATTATTGCTATTATTATTGTTATTATTATTATCATCACCGCAGGTCCTGGATTCGGCTCTGATGGAGTGTGACGGGCAGGAGTCACTGGAGGGCAAGTGGTTTATGAAGCTTAATGACGACATCTCTATTCGAGACAAGGTTCATTAGAAACGATCCTCTCTCTCTCTCTCTCTCTCTCTCTCTCTCTCTCTCTCTCTCCGCCATTCGCCTTGAAGCAGCGAGCGCGTCCCATTAAAGAGCTCGTTTGTCTTCGAAACGAGGTTCGTACGTCTTGATACAGATTCTTGGAACCTGATTCAAACATTATTTGTCGCAAATCAAGATTCTTTTATCTCGATGCGTGTTCTTGGCCTCTGGTTCGGACAGTCATGGAGTCAACATTCACACATGGGTTCGAACGTCACTGGTCTCGAAACAGACAACATATAACTCAATAGAGGTTCATGGATATTGATTCGAATGAATTATTAGTTCAAGATTCAAAAATTGTTTCTTTGGCCTCGAACTGAACCTTAAATATCTCGAAATAACGTTCTCGGTCCTTGGGTCGAACCTCCTCTCGAATTTAAGTTCATTTATTGGTTCTTGAAGGTTAATTCAAACATTAATTGTCAGTAAGCAAACTAATATTTCTTAATTAATTTTCTGTCTTGAAATGTTTAAACAAATGCAAAGTCGAGTACGTTCTTATATGATAGATTGTGAACCTGATTTAAAGATTATATTTTCACACAAGGTTAAAATAATCTTCGATATGGTTTAAATTTTTATCTATCTATCTATCTATCTATTTATCTATCAATCTATTTGAATTCTTTACTGTGTAATTTCATTGATAATTAATAAATAATTGATACAAAAATTGTGTTCAATAATTTCATTCCCTAACCTAACATAACGTAACCTAACAATTAAGATTGCATAAAACTCATAATGGGTCCCAGTTCTAATGGGTCCTGATACTAATGGATACTAATAACCCCTTCTATTGAATCTAAATCCTAATGGCCGCCACTTAATGAGTCCTTGTCATAATGGGTTTGAGTCCTAATGATCTCAACTAATGGGGTCCCAGTCCTTATGGTCAGGATTGATTAAAACCTTTTAGAACTGGAGCCCATTAGTTACAACGGGATAAATAGCGACTAATGAACATAATTACTTTCATCAAAACCTTATCATCACTTCCCTCCTTTACCGTTCATCAATTTCCTTCTTATCTCCCTCTCATCACTTCTTAATTACATCTCCTATCCCCTTCTTCCTCCTCTTTTATTTAATTAGTTCTGCCAATTTATCATTATTTTATTCCCTCTTCTTGTTATTCCTTCTGCTTTAATCTCTCCCCCCATCTTCTTACGCTTCTTCTTCTTCAATCAATCCCCCTTCTTCTTCTTCAATCTATCCCCCTTCTTCTTCTTCAATCTATCCCCCTTTTTCTTCTTCTTAAACCTCCTCCTTCCCCCTTCCTCAGCCTCTTCGTTTCCAACGACTCTCCCAATCCTTATTATGTCATCATACTCAAGGGATTTAGTCATCATACTCAAGAGGTTAAGTCATCGTACTCTAGGGGTTAAGTCATCGTACTCAAGGGATTAGGTCACCATACTCAAGGGATTAAGTCATCATACTCAAGAGGTTAAGTCATCGTACTCAAGGGGTAAAGTCATCGTACTCAAGGGATTAGGTCATCATACTCAAGGGATTAAGTCATCATACTCAGGGGGGGGGGGCGTTATCCTATCGAGTGCTAAGTCATCCAGTATCAATCCTCATTATTTCTTCAACTCCACAAGGTGATATATCAATCTTCAACACAGAGGCGATATACACATCATTATCAATCACAGGTCAGACTCCCATTTTCAACCCACACCACGGCAAACCTAACGTAACCTAACCTAACCTAACCTAACCTAACCTAACCACAACACCATCATAAAGTCCAAAGGATGGAGAAAACACAATGCAAGGATACCAAACCACACAATTAACCTTCTCGCACAATACAGTCGGAGATAAAGAGCTGCTATAACTACCAGTATTCTGTAACGTAAGACCCATTTTTGGGGACGGGAGGTGTGGGGTGGGAGGGAGTGGGAGGGTCGGGAGGGAGGATGGGTGGGGGTGGGTGGGGTAGGATGGGATGGGGGAGTACCTTACCTAGCAGTACCTCTTCATACCATGAGCACCAACAATTATTAAAATTACAGTTGGTCCAAAATGAAGCCCTAAGATTCGTCACAGGTGAAAGATACCCCTTCACCAGAACCACAGCCGAGATACACAGAGACCTGAGAATAAAATCCATCAACCAGCAACTGCACACCCTGGCCAGCAGAGTCTGGCAAAAGATAGAACGATCAGAGCAAGAACTCCTTCAAAGACTCCCACCAGACAACAACCATACATTGTTCCCAAAGATTTACCAAACCTCAACTGGTTCATTACCATCTATACGGCCAGGCTATAGACAACCTCCTTAGACCAGCATCCGCCAGTAGGGTCGGCGGAATATGAAATAAGGCCCTCAAAACACCCACAAATGTGATAGGGTAGGCTGTCCAGTGCCTGTGTCAACGGGCAATAACTAACTCATGACAAAACCCCAACACACTATTAGCTCAGCTAACCCACAGCCCGCCCTCTCTTATCTCTTCCTAAATTTCTTCAATTTCCAAGCTATAAGTTTCTTCCTCCACCTCTCTCTAAAAAAAAAGTGTGGAGTCGGGAGGAGTAGGATGAGGGGATGGGGAATGGGCGAGTGAGGGGATGGGAGCTTGATGTCACAGAGTATAAAAGGCGGAAACACTCGAGAGAACTCGGTGAATTGGCCAGTGTGTCTATGTCAGGAAGCAGAGGAGGAGGAGGAAGCAGAGCGGAGGAGTGAAGAGGAGGAAAACTATCTGTTTACCTTTCAACATGTTGTGAAGACTGAATGTGTGTGTGTGTGTGTGTGTGTGTGTGTGTGTGTGTGTGTGTGTGACGGTTCTGTTTATCTCTCACACGACCGAACAACTACTCGTATTTGTTCCATTCATCAGTCCGTCTGTTTGTCGATTTATCTATCTATCTATCTATCTATCTATCTATCTATCTATCCATTCATCCATCAACCCATCCATTCATTCACGCATCTCTCTTTTTACGGGGTGATGGACACACACACACACACACACACACACAACGTAGGGGATGAGTCAGCCGTCTGGTGTATAATCAAGAGACGTAATCAATTAGTTTAGTCAAAGACCTGGGTCGTGGTCCGTGTCTACGCCTTCTACAGAGTTTAAAGGTCAACTCATTCATCCATTCCATCCATCATCCATCCATCCAAATCCATCAACTCCATCCATCCAACAGCCAGACATTAACAGCCATTCATTATCCAGAAAAAAAATCATTCTTCCAACCATCAACAATCCATCCATTCATCCATTAATTAATTAACCACCTATCATCCATCATCAATTCCATCCATCCACCAACCAACACATTAATCATCCATCCATCCAACACATCAATCCTCTCTATCCATTTATCATCCAACATCCATCCATCCACCAACCAACACATCATCCAACATCCACCCATCCATCAATCCAACAACCAACCCACAAAGCTTGCACTTAATGGCGTCACAGAGAGAGAGAGAGAGAGAGAGAGAGAGAGAGAGAGAGAGCTTCTGAGAGGCATGACAACAAGTGACCCAGCCAAGCGTTTAGACTCCTCCCAATTGTATTATTTTCTTGTAGATAAATATAAACTTCTTGATATTTATTAGTAACAAAATAAATCAACAGATATTTGTAATGAAGAAAAATATTACAACTGTAGGTAAAGGTGATTATTCTGTTGGGTAATAATAATAATATCGTTAATTAATTCTTTCTTAATTATTTCCTGTCATGAATATTAAATTATCTGAACCAAGTCACCAAGTTTTTATTATTATTATTATTATTATTATTATTATTATTATTATTATTATTATTATTATACACGTTTCCACATCTCCAGGTAAGTGTTGTAAATGAACGTGTGTGACTCTGTGACTCTGTTTACCTGAGCTCAATTAACTTCCTTCCGACGCGAACGGGAAATACACACTATTTACCTCTCAACAACTCTCAATAACTAAAGCTGAGTATTAATTTAGTTCGACCCCCCCCCCCGCAATGGTTGCTAATGAGTGTTATGTGGTAATTTATTTTGTGTAATTTTTGTGAGTAATTTAAGTGACAGTCATTAGTGTTATTGCTGATATTATTATTATTGTTGTTTACTATTTTCTTCTTCTTCTTCTTCCGTTTATCGTGTTTCTTCTCTTCCTTCTTTATTTTATCCTCATTTCCTCTCTTTAATACCCACCCGCCTCCCCTCCCACCCTCCCTGCTTTCTACTCACTTAATCCTCCTCTCCCTTTCCCCCCTCCCTCTCTTAATCTCTATCTTCCCCCACCCCCTTCCTCCCACTCTTCTTGGCTCCTACAACTCCCTCCTCCTCTTCCTCCCTTCTTCATCTCTCTCTTCCCTCCTTTCTCCCTCCACCCACCCCTTCCTACCTTCTGCTCACCCTCTCCTCCTCTCCCCCCTCTCTCTCATTCTCTCTCCTCCCTCCTCCTCCCCTCTCTCCTTCCGACTCTCTGGTCTCTATTCACGCTCCTAGTCCTTCTACTCCCTCCTCCCTCCCTCTCTCTCCACACCTCCTTCTCTCCCTCTCTTCTTCCACTCAACCCCTCTCTCACCTCCCCACTTCACCCTCCTCTCTCTTTAGTGCCTTCCCTCCCACAGCACAAAGCACCCTTCCTCCTCCTTGCTACCCTCCTCACTCCCCCCTCCTTGCTACCTCCCTCCTCCCTCCTCCCTTGCTACCCTCCCTCCTCCCTCCCTCTTGCTACCCTCCCTCCCTCCTTGCTACCCTCCCTCACTCCTCCCTCCTTGCTGCCCTCCTCACTCCCTCCCTCCTCCCCTCCCTCCTTGCTACCCTCTCTCTGCCTGCCTTCCCCTGGCTTTCCACCCTCCCTCCTTGCTACCCTCCCTCATTGTCTGCCTGACTCTCTCTCTCTCTCCCTCCTCCCCCTCCTTGCTACCCTCCTCCCTGCCACCTCCTCCTTCCCACCCTTCACCAGCAGAAGGTCAGGTGTAGGTTGAGTCAGCCGTCAGTCAGTCAGGTCAGGTCAGGTCTATTGATGTCGTCTTGGGGTAATGAGAGTCTGAGACCGCACACAAAGCCACGCTCCTCTTTGTCCCTCCTCATATTAACGCCACCAAGAGCATTCAGCATCGCCTGGCGTTCCCCTTCCACCCAGCCATGACGAGTAATGTGGAAATTGCGACAGACGATCCTTGGCTTGTCATTCACACATAATAGCGCATTTTTAAGAATAACTAAGCAAAAAAAACCATAGACAACACGAGCATTCAGCATCGCTTCAGAAAACTACGCCAGACGAACCTTCGCTCGCCTTTTCCACACACACACACACACCAATATTTTACCAGCTATCGTTTCATTAGACCGTCAGGATTAAATTAAGGTCGAACTAAATCCAATTATCAGATTTAAAAATATTATGGCGTAAAAAAATAAATATCAAGTAAATCATTTTAAATCATAAATAATGCCCAGAGTTTCATACACAACCATTTTAAAATCTGAATGTCCCAGATTTTCACACATACAACCCTTCAAAATCTGGGCACTGAAGCTGTAAATTCACGACACATAAAACACACTCGACTTTTCCCGGCAGATTAATGCAATATAATTCACCGTGTTGGTCCTCACCCCCAGGTAAGACCTCCCACTGTGCCCTCGTAACACCGTAAACCTGTTGAGCAAATTACACAAATCGACAAA